GTTGACTTTTCTTCTGGATTTGTCCTCAAGAAAAGGCTCATTGCAGGGGCCTGTGTGCTGGGCTGCAGCGTAAGAAAATTATAATAAATGATAATAAACCCCAAGCACAATCCTGCACAGTTCCTGTCAGGAAATCTATAAGGAAAGAAAGATTTTTAATAAAACCAGGTGAAAGTATTGATAAGTGTATAAAGCATAATGTGCTGTAATACACAACAGTTGAGTTTCTGAGCTCTCTGGATGAATATGTAGTATGTTAAGACGTGTGTGGAGTCAAAATGCTCGAGCATTTCGGAGCTTGATGGGGCAATAAAGTTAAGCACAAGAGCTGAGTGCAGAGCAGCTTTAGCTGCAGATCTGCAGCAGCTCTAATGAACTCCCAGTTGTGTCGCTGCTTATGAGTGGTGCTTTGTTTACAGTATGACATTGAGTCTCAAAGCAGCTTCTAATCAGCAGCAGCGAAGTTCCTCCTTTCAGTCGGGTATGATGCTACAGGAGGCTTCCTGAATTTGCAAACAAGTCAATTAAGCAGGAGAAGAACAGAGCTTGTAGTTGTGCAGCACCAGCTCAGTCCTGGCGGTGGGAAGGGATGAGGACCATGCAGTTGTCATCTGTTTTATCCTGGTGGATAAACTGTGGGAGCATTGTTCACTGCCAGGCAGTTTGGCATGATGGTTTGCTTGGTTAGTGGTACTTCAGACTTAGGATTTTGCAGGTGGGAAATGAGTTTGGAATCAAGGGCAGAACGTGGTACACAGAAAGTGCCTCTCATTAAAATAGTTACCCTGTATGTAATGTTACATTGTTTATTCTGCAGTAACTCTTGCTCTTTTAGCCAAAAGGAGATTCCTTCATACGGAATCAAATGAATTTACTAAACTTGACAATTTAATGAGTAAGCTAAGAAAATTTCACAGGAACCACCAAAAGGCAGTGGAGTTACTTAGCATTTGTGATGGCAGGTGAGAGGTGCTGTATTTGTCCTGTCTTCGCAAATCAAATGCAACTTTGTAAGCTCTGCTTTGGCCAACTGTTTATATCTGGCTGGCTGGGGTATTAAGAAGGGGTTCAAACAATGGCCCTGTTCACACAACTGGTTTCCTTCCATTTGCTGTAGTCGTTAACAAGACCTTTCAATGTATAAATAATGCATGCCCCAAAGTCTCATTTTGATACAGTGATTACTTCCTTTTATACTTGCCCATTAAAAGCCCCCTCATGCTACTCCCTGCAATTCATTACACTCCCTCTTTAAAGAGTGTTTGTGACTATTTTTTTTTTTTAAACTAATAGCATGTTTTTCAGTTGATGTTCTCCCGTAGCTCAGCTGAAAACTTACTTAATAAAAGAAGGTAATGCATAATGGGCCCTCTGCTTCTTAAGGAAACTTAAGAAAGCTTTTTTTCCCCCCCCCCCGTGAAAGTTGTTCCCAGCTGCGTGTAGAGGTGCAGCAATAGGAGCAATTTGTGCGACACTGAATGAAAATGTGACCCTTTAAAGCATTTGTTTCTCTACTCAAGCCTTACAGTGGTGCACTGTTGTGCTGCAATCACAGCTCATAACAGGGGCTTTTAAAGCCTCAGAAGAAATTGATTGTAAATATAGATATTCTGGGGAGGCTGTTCCTGGCAGATGGCAGGATTGCTTAGAAACCTTGGGAAGATGAGATGCTGAAATCACAGCAAACACAAGCAAATGTTCTAAATGTGGTTTGTGCCTCTCATTCAGAAATTTAAAAACCCTACATGAATTGCAGTTTCTACATCAAAATGTTGGGCTCCTGCATAAATACCTGAACCTGCTGCTTTGTGGCCTTAAATAGCTCATGATTCACGGAGCTTTTTAATCCTACCTTGTTTTCTTAAGAAAAAGCAGAAACTGTGAAGCTTCAGGATTTTTGCCTTCCAAAGTGAACTTCTGAAAGGTGTGTAATGAGATCAATTCAGTGTCATTTGCACTTCTCAAAGCATTTCGTTGCAAAGGTTTTCTTTTTGCCCTTGCTTTTCGTGACCAGGTAAAAACACTGTTCAGTAGAAGTCTTGAAAGCTCCTGGAGGGGCAGAATTGAGTTACAGTAAATGTTATAATATTTTAACTTCAGCAGTCTGGTTCTTCAGTGCTTACAGCACAAGGGTGTTTGTAGAAACTTCTTTTTTGAAGAAGCTGAAGCAGTTTTGATCGAATCTGTTATGATGCTTCTGGAACACTTTGTGCTTTTCTTGATAGCCCCTCAAACAAATGTAAAGCTTTTAGAGTTAATTATGTTACTGACTCCAAGCAGATTATTTGTAAAATCATAGTTTACAGGACAGAGTCATTTATCAAAATTCCCTTGACACTTGCCCTACAAATACTAGTTACTGCAAAACATCATTTTGGTAGAACTGTTCCAACTTCCTTCTCTTTGAGTTACTTGTTTATTCCACGAGCATACTTGTGGGTAAATGATGTTGAAATTATATGCAGCCACTAAAATTGCTTTCCTAGTTGATGCACTGTGTTCAGAATACTACAAAATAAAATACCCAATTATACATGATCGTGGAACATAGGACTTGTAGGTCTGGAAACTTGATTGCTTGATGTCGATGTAATGGGATAGATCAGGGTGGCAGCACCAAGAGGAGTTCCATGAAATCTCCTTTGAGCTCAGCTTCACTGTAGGAATTTCTGGTGCATCTTCTGCCTTGATGATGCTTTAGGTTCTTTGAAAGCAGAGCTGAGAAACAAAAATAGAACTTTTGAATTGTCTTCTTTCTGCTGGGAGACTTCAGGTGGGTTCATTTCCTTTTTTAGGGCTGTGAGCAATTGCTGTTATCTTGAGATACTGAAGGTACAGGGCTTGAAAGTGAGTTGCAGCTATAAACAGCTTTTACTTTTTAGAACAGTAAACTTTTATCCTCAGTAAAAGAACAAATTTAGTCTGAGTGCTTGGCCAAGTTGCTCTCTCTTTATGTATTTCCTGTTGCTTTGAAGGGTGCAAAGGTTCTTCTGTGTAATAGTTCTGGGGAACTAAATTAAAGTGCAGACATGTCTGTATTTCTGAAGAAATAAGGTGATACATAATTGATTGAGGCTTTTTTCTTTTTTTCAATACCTTTTAGGGACTTACTGAAGCAGTGGGAGACTTTTGTTCTAATTTTTTTTTTTTTTCAGTTTATATGACAGCTTAGGAAGAAAGGTCTTCAAACAGTTGTTCTGTTTGTTTTGGTTTTCCCACTTTTTCTCCGTGTTACTGAAACAAAGCTGAATAATCAAAGAGGTACCAATGGGATTAAGCTACTGTGTGAAATAAATGGATTTTTTTTCCTGTCAAAAGACACCAAGTGTCCTTGGGTTTGTTCCCTGCTGTCCTCACCTTCTAATTCCCAGAAAAAACAAACCTGTGGTGCATAAATGCCTTGCCTAGGGATGTTTGCTGTATTTTTGTTTTATGCTGCTTAGTACATGTTTCTGTTATATAAAAGTATCTGTGCAGGTGTCTGAGTGAGCTTGTAAATGTGCCCAGACACTCGGAAAAGCCTTATCAGATGACTTTTAGTGAATCAAAGATGGGAGGAAGAAAGATCTTCTTGATTAAAGGTGGCAGCCTAAGAGAACCAGCACAGAGGTGCTTCAATCCTGCTTCCCACCACCACCTTTGTGTCTCCTGTGCACATTTGGTGTCTGGGGCTGTGGTAGGTGCTCTAATTCCCCGTGGTTTATCAAAAGCTGAGAGACAATGTTGTTTGGCAGTCTCTGTAGCAGGAGAGGAAGCATCTTTTGTTATTGACATCCTTTCTCTTAGCCCTGCTCTTGCTTTTTGCCAGCTGCTCATTGTCTGTACTTGCTTATTTAGTATTCACCAGGGGTTTTACAAGTTCTTATCAGTTCGTTGCCACAGCACATCATTTCCTCTTGTCATCGGTAAATTGGTGGGGGGAGGATTTGCTCTGGAGCTGGGGAGTGGTAAAACACCATTCATGAGCTGCACTGGGCTCTTCTGCTCCTCTCCTTTCCGAGAGTTTGTAGTAAAGGTCACATTTCTAGTCCTTACTCTGTCATGCCTTTTCCCTCCTCCCCCCCTCTTTTTCTGGGGAAAAGAAAACAGTTTTTTTTTTCTTTTGCCAAAGGCTAAAAATATCCAACCCTTCAAATATTCTTCTTAAAAGATATAAGGAAGTGCAGCATAAAAATAGCTCCAACTAAAAAAAAAAAAAAAAAAAGGGTTGACCACCTTTCTGAGTGGGTTGGTTGGAGCTTTTTACTGGGTTTTTCTTTTACTTGTGTTTGGTTTATTCTCTATCTACAGCTTCTTCGTAGTTTTTTTAAATGTTGTTCAAAACCATGAGGTAACTAATTAGGGTTAAAGCAGGAAAAAAAAGGATTTTCTCCTTTTGGGAGATTTTCTCCATTTGAGAAAATGGATTTTCTCCATTTGAGAATGCACTGCTGGCCTTGGAACTGCTGGTTCCACCCTCCCTCTTTCCCGTTCCTGCATAGCAAGTTCAGTCCTTTAGTGAGGCAGCATGGCAGGGATATACTGGTAGTTTTACAGCATATTCCTCCAGCCTGCCTTCTAGAGGAAAGTCATGGATTTAAGGAACATTAACATGAGCTGTACTGTCCCTCTCACCCTTGTTGGTCCCTTTTCCCACTAATCATTAATGTAAGAATTGGAGACTCTGATCTTTTTTGGGAGTGAGGTCCTAGTACTTCTGGGTTTTTGTTTTGAAACAAAATCAGGTTCAGTGTTGAAACAGAGAGTCTTTTACTATCTGCCTTTTTGTTTTCCTTGTTTTCTAATTCCTTGTTAACTTATCTTTTCAACAGAACTAAATTGGAGGAATTGATCCCCATTTTTGATGTGAGGACTTCATCGCCGAGGTCTCTATGCTCATTTGGCAGCCTCCAAGAAATAACACAGCTCAGCAGGGGCAATAACTGCCTTGGGTATACCCTGACAATTATTTGGGAAAAACAAAGGAAACCCCAGCAGACAAACCCCACCAAACCTTTTGAAGACTTTGTGTCCAATGACGTCAATGGCCAGTTTGTTCTCCTTTACTAGCCCAGCTGTAAAGCGTCTGTTGGGCTGGAAACAAGGAGATGAAGAGGAAAAATGGGCAGAAAAAGCTGTTGATGCTTTGGTTAAAAAGCTGAAAAAGAAAAAGGGTGCTATGGAAGAGCTGGAGAAAGCCCTGAGCAGCCCAGGCCAGCCCAGCAAGTGCGTGACCATCCCGCGCTCCCTGGACGGGCGGCTCCAGGTGTCCCACAGGAAGGGCCTTCCCCACGTCATTTACTGCCGAGTCTGGCGCTGGCCCGACCTCCAGAGCCACCACGAGCTGAAGCCCTTGGATATTTGTGAGTTTCCTTTTGGATCTAAACAGAAGGAAGTCTGCATCAATCCATACCACTACAAGAGGGTGGAGAGCCCAGGTATTTGGAAAATTACTGACTTACAGCTGCACAAAATCTTCTCTAACAGCTTACTGTCCCCTCCCTCTTCCAGTCCTGTGGAACTGATTAAAACTGGGGCATGAGGGAGTTTGGAAGTTCCAAGGGTACATTACTGGTGTGGTTTTGGGGAGGTGTGTTGTCCATTCTTTGTGATTAATCACATTTTCCCCTTAGATCTCTTCAGCCTGCTACCCTTAAAGTTAGTAGCAAAGTCCTCATCAGTAGCAAAATAGAAAGCAGTGATAAAAAGACTTCATTTTCTTTGACAAACTTGTTTAAAAATCTCAGTCCTTGCAAGGAGGTTGGTGAAGTTCTTTTACTATTTAATTAGTGAGTGACATGACTTGAGGAGATTAAAAAAAAAAAGAAATAAAATTCTTGGATGGTAGCGCTCCCCACTTGAATTCCAATGAGCAGAGATGAATAGAGCCAAGAGTGGTGATCAGAGCAAGGTTTGTACCAAATTTGTGTCAGGTAACAAGCCTGCTGTTCAGGAGTTCTGCCGTGGGAGAAGGGGAGGAGGGTTGGGAAACGTGAAGGATGTTGCTGTGGACAGCGGAGTGAAAAGTTGCTTCTGTTGTTCCACGGAGTGGTTTTAACTCCACTGCAAACTGCAGTGCTCAAACTGCAGCACTGGAATTCCAGACTGCAGCAGCCCTGGGTTTAAAAGTTAAAACTCCAGCTTAGTAATACTTTTATGTTGCAGTATAAATTTTGTCTTCAGTGAAAGGGACGATATGTAACTGTGTAGTTTGACTGGGGTAATAAAGGCTGTATTTCCATTTTCACTGGTTTGCTCATGCACACAGACAGTGAGTTTTGCACTTCTGCATCAGTACTTCACTAGGTACCACATGGTTTGTTTTGTTGGTTTCTTGTTCTTGAAAAGAAAGGTCATCTTCCACTTGCGTGAGATAGATGTGTGTTTTTGTGATTTTTGCAAGAGTAAAGTTCGAGTCTTCCATGAAGCATAATGTAAAAACTAAAGGCATGTCAGGTTAACCCCCTGCTCCTCTTTCCACCCCACTAGTGTTGAATTACCACAGTGAGCAGAACAGCACATTATTTGTATCTCCTTCTAGCTCATTTTTTCCTCTGAATTTACCTGGTTTTTTCTCTGTGTCTGTTCCAGTTCTACCTCCAGTGTTAGTGCCTCGCCACAGTGAATTCAACCCCCAGCACAGCCTCCTCGTTCAGTTCAGGAACCTCAGCCACAACGAGCCCCACATGCCCCACAACGCCACGTTCCCTGACTCCTTCCAGCAGCCCAACAACACTCCATTCTCCATCTCCCCAAACAGCCCCTACCCCCCTTCCCCAGCCAGCAGCACTTACCCCAGCTCCCCAGCCAGCTCGGGACCATCCAGTCCCTTTCAGCTCCCAGGTAAGTCCAGCCTGTCAGTTTAATAAATATAATTAAAATATCACGCGCTCTTGTGACTTATTACCTCAGAATTTGTGATACTTGCAAGAAATTGCTTTTTCAGTTTGTATTTCAGGGGTCTTTCTTCCCACTTTTGCCACTGGTCAGAGTTAATTATTACAGTTTTATTTTTCCAAATGTTTTTTGTTGTGGATATAACAGTGGTGAATTATTTTGCACAGCTTCAGTGTAGAACAACTGATACATACTTTACAAGAATGTCTAGCAATGAAATGAAAGCAGATGTAAGAGGCAGAGCAAGAAATTTCTTGATGTGTTTGAATCCAGTGGTGTTTAACTGGAAAAAAGTCACAAATCGTTCTTAGGAACAGATTGGACTAAATTAGTTCACTTTAAGTGATTTAGGTGAGAAAAGGGAAAAACAAAAGGGGCAAAGGAAAGAAGTCTTACTGATTGTCTGGCTGTTGGTGTGGTTTATAATAAGAAGTTAATCAATTAATGATTTTGTTTTCCAAAAGCTCAGTGGCCTCATCTTTGTTCTTTCTAATTACTCAGTTCCCCCAAAAGAGTGTCCCAGTCAGGGGTTATCTCTTGGCTGGCTGTTTTCAGAGCACTTTGAAAACGGATCCAAATTTTTTAACATCTCTTGTTCAAGACAAGTTTTTTTTTTTGTATGTTTACAACAGTAGAATGAACAAATATTCTAAATTGTTGAAGTTTATTCTTATTTTTTTCATCCCTGTAGCTGATACTCCACCTCCTGCCTATATGCCCCCTGATGATCAAATGGGGCAGGATAATTCCCAGTCTATGGACACAAGCAATACAATGATCCCTCAAATCATGCCAAATATATCTACCAGAGGTAAGTTGTGGGGTCTGGTGTAAAATTGCATACTTTGGCACCAAACTGAATGAATAACTTCAAATGGGCCAGTAAATCTTGCTGGTAGGTCCTCCAAGGCAAAGTGGGGCTGTAGCAGAGAAAACTGAGAAACAAAACTTGCCCGGCTTATTTTCATCTCTTGTTTTCAAAGCCTCAGGTGCAACAGTGGGCCTTTCAACAAGTTGAATTCTTTCATTTCTTTTCTGCTACCTTTGACTGTTTATGGAATTACATATGAACTAAGGCTCTGAAAATTTGAGTCCCAAAATACCCATTATAGCAGATTTTTAAAAGTGGCAGGAGAATCGTGTCTCACCTGCTATCACAGTGCTTTTGTACGTGTGTAGGGGGGTTTTTATTTATTGTCAGGCTTAAAATTGGGAAATGATTGTAAAATCAGCAGACTAGCTAAAATACATGAAGATAAAAATCACGAAGATGTTAATCAGGGTACTCCTTGCCCATCCTAAGTGCCAGCTGAGCTCTCACTTGCCTGGTGGTGTTTTGGGAGGCAAACTCCTCTTTCTGTTTGCTGCTTTTCAGATGTCCAGCCCGTTGCCTACGAAGAACCCAAACACTGGTGTTCCATCGTGTATTATGAGTTAAATAATCGTGTTGGGGAGGCCTTTCATGCATCTTCCACAAGTGTCTTGGTAGATGGGTTTACAGATCCCTCCAACAACAAAAACAGGTTCTGCTTAGGTCTGCTCTCCAACGTAAACCGCAACTCGACCATCGAGAACACTCGGCGGCACATCGGGAAAGGTAAAGCTTGGCTTGAGAACCCCAGGCCTTGAGTTTGTTGCACCCTCTCTCCACTGCAGCAGGGGTTGCTCTCAGATGAGAGTTCCAGAGGGAATCTGAGATCTGATACATTATCTGCCTCTGCAGAATCAGAAGACAACTTCTTTAGGCATGGTTTAATTCTAATTAGTCAGGAATTGCAGACGTTTTTCTTTGGCACTGATTTAAAAGACTCAGTTTTACCCCTTCCTTACCAAACAGGATTATCCTTTGCCCCAACAAACAAGCCCCTGTGACAATCTGTGTGTAGAGCTGTTGTGTTTCAGCACCAAGACACACTGCAGGACTCCTGATAGCCTACATTCTATCTCCTTCTTAAAACAAATTCTTCATCCCACCGTGTAGTATATCAAAGATCGTTTTATTTTGTTGTTGCAAGGTATTACCTGCTGTCTGTGTTCAAGTATCTTGGTGAGTTGGCAGCAGGACTTTGAAGTGCTAATGCAAAACTGCAAGGGCTCATTTGTCTGAGTGAATCCATGGGGTGTGTTTGTGTGTGGGAGGGATTCCTGGAGACAGCAGGTTTTGCAAGATCTTCTAGTTTTCCTGTGCTGTTTGGCTGATAGCACACAGAGATGCACAGTTTTCATCTGGGATGGAATGTGCTTGGATTATCTTAAATTGCAGTGCTGCTTTTCTGAATATCTTCTCTTTTGTGACCAAGTCAGTCCTGAGGAGAGAACCCTGTTTCTCTTGCACGGATTTAGAGGCCTCTTTACCATCTGAGATCATTTGGTAAAGTTGGTCTTGAGTTCTGCTTGATGAAAATTCATCCTGTCCCTTAACAGGCTTTTTAAATTAGAAACTTCTATAAATATGGCAGAATTTTGCAGATAATTTGGAGACCACGAGTTCTATTGATATGGGTTGGAAACTTGGCTCTGCAATGCAGTTATCCAAGAAAATGTGTAAATAAAACCCTGTTATAAAGGAGAACAGCTGATTCCTGGGGTGTGGGTGGTTTATCAGGTTCTTTTGTTTGGGCTCACCCCTTTCAGTGGTGTTGGCAGAGAAATCCTGTGCATCTTCCCAAGGTCAGGAGTGTAACCAGGATCCATCAGCACGATCTTTAAAATGTCTACATCTCTAACAGAAATTATGGAACTTAAACTTTGCTTTGTGGTAGTTGTTCTGACAACAGTTAAGACTGTTTGGGGATAAAATACTACTTATTTATGGCTTTTGTTTGAAAGAGAACTCTATCCCACCCAGCAGTCGTGGGGGGGGAAAGGAAGGCAAAAATCTGTGTTTGGACCCTGAAAGGATCAGCAGCTTTTATATACTGATTTTTAGTTAGTAATAGTGTTGTATAGGCTTCAAAACATGAAAGGAAACGTTAATGGGCATAGCTGAATCCAGAGGCTTTGTTGATTTTTAAGGTCTGGAAAGCCTGATGGTAATTAAGTTGGAAACTAATTGGACTTGCCTCTCCTTTGGCCTGATAAAAAGCTGTGAAAATCAGAGCATGGATGTACTTTCTCATTTATGTCTGACCCTTCTCCCAGGACACACTCATTTCTCTTGGAATTGCCATAGGCAGAAGCTACCAGTTTTATAAAACTAGAGTTTTAAAAGGCACATAAATTCTCTAGAAAAATAGCTTGAAATAACAGTTGAAAGAAGAAAAGGCAGTAGCTGTTTCCTTCTATTCTGTAACTGGTCAGAGAAGGACATCTAGTGGCTGGTGTATCAGGAGCTTACTGTATTTTGAAATGAGAAAGTATATTATAGTGTGAGCAAAGGAGCTTTTCTGAGAAGCTCAGGCAGAAAGTTTACTTCAAAAAAAAAAAAAAAGGATTTATTTACTACAACCACCTCAAAATCAGAGGCAACAAACTCATTTGCAACGTTTTTATCGTTGTTTTCAAGGAGTTCACCTCTACTATGTTGGTGGAGAAGTCTATGCTGAGTGTTTGAGTGACAGCAGCATATTTGTACAGAGCAGGAACTGCAACTACCACCATGGCTTTCATCCAACAACCGTGTGCAAGATTCCCAGTGGGTGCAGTCTGAAAATATTTAACAATCAGGAGTTTGCTCAGCTTTTAGCCCAGTCTGTCAACCATGGATTTGAAGCAGTATATGAGCTCACCAAAATGTGCACCATTCGAATGAGTTTTGTAAAGGTAAGTTATTTTGAGGGCATTTTAAGTTTATTGTGGGTTTGGGTGTTTAGTAGGAAATTCCATCAGCACTGTAGCAAAGCTATTCTGACCTGATGTGGGTCTTTTCAATGATCAGTACATTGCAAATGCTTAATTTGGGGAGAGGGAAATCAATGCAAGAAAGGAAAAGCACAGATTGTGCTGTATTGAATGTTGGCTGTGTATTTAATTACTTTAGTATCCAGGACAGGGATTTAATCATTGTGGTTGCTGTAATTTTATTAAAGAAGATTTGGGCTCATGCTTGAAATTTGAAGGAACAAAGTGAATAACAAGTCCATTAAAAGACAGGGAGTAGAAAGGAATAGAATTGATTGCAGAAAATATTCAACTCCTTCCAATTGATTAATATTATTTTAAAAAAATGATTATGGAGAAAAGGCTTGATTTGAGTTTATGAAGTCAAGCTGTGCTGTTGTCTCCCAGGAGTTTCCTCAGCATTGCTGAGTGAAGAGACTGTCCATCTCAGATTTAGTGTGGAGTCCAGGGGTTTTTCTGCACCTTGTCCAAAAACTGTCATATTGATTTTGTCAGTGATGATAAACACTGCCCAGTTTGAGAGTGTGGAGGATGAGGGAGCAGGAGGTGGAGGCAGGAGAGAGATGTGGCCGTGGCAGGAACCCTCCTGGAGTGAGCAGAGAGCTCCTGTGGTCACTGCAGGCTCCCTGGAGACCTTCCCTCCTGCTCCTCCCCAGCCTCAGCTTTCTTCCTTTAGATAAGAAGTGTTCCTAGATTGTGAATTATTGTGAATTACCTTCAGATAAGTATCTTAGATCATGATTCCCTGCTTCTTGTTAGTGTTGTTTTAACTTGTGTTCCCCCTCGCAGGGCTGGGGAGCCGAGTACCACCGGCAGGACGTCACGAGCACCCCATGCTGGATAGAAATTCACCTTCACGGGCCCCTCCAGTGGCTGGATAAAGTACTTACACAAATGGGCTCTCCTCTTAATCCCATCTCATCTGTCTCATAGTGCTGACATTCTATCTCCAGCCTTATTTTTAGCGAACTTATTCTAATTCTAGAGCGACTTCCAGTGGATACTGTGAGCTATATGGAGAATGGATCTTATGGTTTAATTGTTTTTGTTTTTTTTTTTTTAAATCCCTCTGTGACCAATTCCATTGTGTATAGCTAATCAGTTTTACATTTCAAATTGTTCTTGTGATGCTTAAGTGACAGTTGAGCCCTAAGGGAAAAAATAGTCTATTGAGAAATTCAGAACACTTTTCCCCTCCTTCCCCTAGAACTTAAACAGACATATGTCTTAACTGGAAAACCTTTTTGTCCTGTAGGGACAAAGAATTATGAAGACTGACTTCAGAAAATAAATACATATCATAGTTTGGGATTTTTTTTTTTTTTAATGTTTATGAAACTGTTTGAACATTGTGCAGCTCCAGCTTGCAAGCTGTATTTTTAGCATAGTGTTTTAAACATCTTAAGGTTGACATCTGTCTCATAAGCAAAATTAGACTTTATTATGGCTAATTTGCCTCAGATTGAACAATGTGATTTTTTTAAGTGTACACATGAATATACTTTTTACAAATATTGGAGTGGTGTAAAAACACTTGTATTTTCTATTGGAAAATGCTGTCATAAACACACTGTATATTAATGCAGAATAGCAGTTCTTAGCCTTTTCCCACTTTGGTTTTGTAATATCTCTCTTAACCACCATTTAAAATAGTAATTGATACAAGGTAAACATCTTGCACATTTCTGGAGTAGTAATTCTTGTTTTGCTTTGATTTACACTCATGCAGTTTGGATTTGGTTGCCAAGGCTATCTCTTTTTAGGTACCCTTCTCTTTTTTAACATAAACACTACTATTTGTAAATGGCAGTGCTTACTACTTTTTGGAAGGAATAAGTTTTTTTGTTTTCTTTTTGGTGTTCTAGCTCTTTATTTTACCTGTCTGGAATTGATCTGTGTAGGCCTTTTTAATCTCTCAGTAGACATTACACAGTATTAGTGATTACACTGTATTTAATTCACTTTCAGTATGAGGTTGAGTCTCTTTGAAGACTGTGAGTGGCTTAAAAAATGAATTACTGAATGCAGAAGCTTTTACTTCCAGGTAATTTAATACAGACCTGTTGGTAATGACCAAAAGGAAATCCCTCATTTGTAGCTTGCATTGAAGGGGTGGTCTCACTCCTGGCCCTCTTGGCAGGGGTTCAGTCACAAGACTTGTCACTGTAGTTGTGGGATTGAAGGATAGCATTAATATGGTGATGAAATTCCTCACGTGGAAGGAATCACAGAATGCTGAGGGGTTGGAATGGACCTCCAGGATCATCTAGTGCCAACCCCAGGGACACCTCCCTCTAGAACAGATCACTCGAGGCCTTACCCAACCTGGCTTTGAACACTGCAGGGGATGGGGCAGCCACAGCCTCCCTGGGCAACCTGTGCCAGTGCCTCACCACCCTCACAGGAAAAATTTCTTCCTGACAGTTTGTGCCCATAACTCCCTGTCCTGGCACTGCAGTTCCTGACAGCGAGTCCCTCTCCTGTTCCCTGAGGCCCCTTCAGACACTGGGAGGTGCTGTGAGGTCCCCTCACAACCTTCTCCCCTGCAGCTTTCTCAGCCACCACAGGGGAGGTGTTCCAGTCCCCTCATCAACACTGTGGCCTCCTCTGCACTTGCTCCAGCAGTTCCATGTCCTTAGGCTGGGAACACCAGAACTGTTGCCAGTGCTCCAGGTGGGGCCTCACAAGGGCAGAGCAGAGTGGGAGAATCCCCTCCCTTGGCCCAGGATCCAGGAGCCCGTTGGTTTCTGGGCTGTGAACAGTCACTGCTGCCTCATGGGGACTTTGGCATCAGCCATCACCCCGAAGTCCTTCTCCCAGGGCTACACCATATCCCTTCTCCACCCAACCTGTAGGTGTGTCTGGGATTGCCCACCTTGGTGAACTTCGGGAAGTTTGCACCAGCGAGCTTTGGTGGAGAATTTAAACACTGTACTAAACGCTAAAGGAAATCAGTTAAATAACTTATGCATATTTCCCCCCCTTTTTGTAATAAAAAAGGAGGCTGAAAGAAATACTCTAAGAGAATTAAAAGTGAATTATATACAAAATCTCTTTGCATGCAGAAAAAACCTCTTGTATTTTTTAACTTCTCGCCTTCCCTTTTTCTCTTTCCTGAATACCTCTTCAGCAAAGGGTTCAGTGTTGGGAGGAGAGGCTGAAAACTTTAATATGCAAATAATTATTGGAAGATGTGTTGCGGTTAATGACTGCAACCCTGAGACATTGATTGCTTACACAAGTTCTTGTGTCTTCTGTTGAATGACAAATCATGCGTCGTATGGTACCTGCGTAACAAATGATCTTCAAGGATTCGAATTGTTTACGTGTCCTTAAAATGTTTCTTATGAAATGCCTTAAAGGAATAAACTGTAACACTTCTGCAGAACCCTGATGTTCTCTTGTACAGGAATTTCTGTATTACTTGGTGTTTGGGGAGTTTTGTGGGGTTTTTTTTTTAGTGTTTTGGGGTTTTTTAAACGGTTTCTCAAGTGTGTTTAAAAACCAACAAGTGCATCTTCAGGAGAAGGGGAGGAACATTAATTGCTGTTTACCTTTGGGGTCTTCTCTTTCATTCTTTGGAGCTGCAACCCACAGACAGTTCTTTTGATTGAATAAGATGCCAAGTCAGTTGGCCACAGGATCCAGCTTCTGTTGTCCTCTCCTCGGGGCCTGACTTTTATCAAGTAGCTGAATATGTATATTTGACACTACAGAGTATTATTTTTCTTGACTAGCTTTTGTAATAAACGCCATGGCACGTTGAATTAAGGAAAGGTTGCAATTGTAGGTACAAGATTTTACTTTATCCAAGATGTTTTTCACCTGGCTTCATTTCTGTTCACTTGTGTGCTTCTCTGTGGCCAACTGAGTGACTCAAGAATGGGTGCTGAGGTGGGTGTTTGTGAGCCAGAGCTGGTGCTTGGTGCTGGTGTCGTGGTTAGATTGGCTGCCTGTGCACTGAACCATAATTTCTGCAATAATATCCAGTTAACCCACTTCTGATGCTGTCATTAAGTGCTGAAGTGCTCTGGCATTTTTTTTCCTGCTTGTGTCCATGTTCTGCAGCTGTAATATCTGCAATGCTGGGATATCCTTGTGACTTCTGGTTTGGCAAGGCAGGAGCAGGAGCAAACCCAGGAAGATTTGTTTGCCTTCTACTTCTCTCTTCCTTTTAAGCAGAACTTTTTGGGTGCTTTCTAGTGAGCAAATTGGTTCATGGTGTTCCTAATCCGGTTTTAGTTCATCTGTGCTGCTGATAGAAAATGAGATATCGGTGCACAGATGGATTGGATGGAGAGTTTTTTGACCCTCATGATGTGTCAAGTACAGGGAGAGCAGGGAGTGCTGCTCCTGGTGCAGCATCCCGTGTATAAATCCCTTCTTTATCCAGATGGAGAAATTAAATCAGCCAGCAGAGCGGTAGTGGAAGAAGGAGCCTTTCCAGTGTAGCCCAGCTTGGATTGTTACCCTTCAGTGAAAACTGATTTGGCTTTTTTAGCGTATTTTCTTCTTTTTGGGCATCTCCTTTGCACCAACCACAGCATTGACTGGCAGCTTTGGCAGCACCAGCAGAGCCTGACACCAATCCTTGCTGGGCTGGCTTCTGCAGCCCCTGGGATAACAGCCTGGATGTTGCTCCTTGGGCGCCTCAGAGCTGGCAGTCAATCAGTGCTTTTACCTGACACCCATTCACTGCGCTGGGCTGGGAGGGCTGACATGGACCAAAAGACCATTTTCTAGTGTGACTGATGAGAGACAAAATTACCAGAACAGCCCAGCAGGCAAAACAACGATGTAACTGCTGTTACAATTCGGTGGTTTTTTTTTTTCCCCCACAGTATTAAAATGTAAAAGTTGTCAATTGTTGGGTGTAAGATTTAACTTGGACCCTTGCACTGTAACTCTAGAGGACATTCACGTGTGTCAGGCTTCCTCCCTAGTCTGAAATAATTATTTTTTCAGGGTGTTGTTTTACTTGCTCAAATTGCTAATGATGGTTTCTAGAAAAACAAACAAACCAAAAACCAAAACATTTTCTGAATGTTTTGCTTCAAGAAGCAAACGTGACTATCTTTTTTTTTTTTCTGTCATTGTGAAGTTTCTGTTTAGGAAGGTTTCCCATTCTGAATTCAAATCAATAGACCAAACCATCAGATTTACAACAATGTGTTGCTTTTTTGTGCTGCTCCATAAACCTGCTTCTGTGTTCGTTGCAAGCATAACCTTTATGCTTTTGTTTACATTGTAGGAAACACAGTTCTAGCAATGAGGTTTGTTGTTTTGTTTTGTTTTGTTTTTTTTTTCATTTAACTCTAAACATCTTTTTATTTTGTTAATTTTAAAATGATTAGGTTTTTGCTATGTTATGTTTTTAAAGATATTTTTTGCATACTGCTGCTCATATTTCAATAAACGAAACAAAAAACCCACCAGAGTTTATTGGTTTTATTTATCTGTAACTCAGGATGTCTCAAGTGTTTCCCAAAGGTTAATTTATCACTTGGAACTCCTGCTGCTGATGCCTCTCCATGTACACAGAACTCCTTATACAAAGGAGTGATCTTGATATTTTAAACTGCTTCTCTGGAGCTTTTTGGTAATGCCAAAGCTGCTTGGGAAGCAGAGACTAAATTATTTCATCGCCTTCTTAAGAGTTGTTCTTGTAGAATGCAGCCAGCCCAAACTGTATCCATTTCTTAGTATTTCTACCAATTATTTTGGCTGTACAAACAAATGTTTATCTGTAAGACTTCAGCAACAACTTGATGAATATGTTGGGGGTGTTTGGGCATTTTTTTAACCATAATATTTTGTAACAACCCATCATGTCTGAATGTGCCAAGCTTTGAACTGCAGAGCAATGGCAGTGAAGGCTGTGCAAAGATCTCATGAAACTCAAGGACTTTTAACATTAAATTGTAAATTTACAAAGCAGTTTAGTGAGCTGTATATTGGCTTGTCTTTTAAGATTGAGGGGGAGAAAACTTTTCCCTTGTTTGCCAAGATAGTGCAGAAATAGAGGTTGAAA